TCGTATCGTACCGGCGTTTCGACATTCACTCGGTACGGTACGATACAGTATACCGAGCAGTATATCGTTCGCTATATATATATATATATATATATATATATATATAAAGATTTTTTTTATATATGAAATATTTTTATAAAAGGCGAGGCGACGTGGCTTTTTTCGGCGACGTCGCCGAGGCGACGCAACGTGACGTCGCCTTTAATATATATATATATGTATATATATATATACATATATATGTATGTATATATATGTATATATGTATATATGTATATATATGTATATATATGTATATATGTATATGTATGTATATATGTATATGTATATATGTATATTTATATGTATATATATATGTATGTATGTATGTATATATATATGTATTTATATATATATATATATATGTATATATATATATGTATATGTATATGTATATACTGTATCGTACCGTACCGTACCGAGCGAACGTCGAAACGTCGGTACGGTACGATATTTCAAACCTTGCTTAGGACAATATGTATTGAGGGTTCAAGAAACGGACACGGTGCACAATATGAGTGCTTCAGTTACATATGTTAAAGAGCAGACGAGGAAATTTCTTTTATGTTGTGTGAATATCAATATGGCTTCAACTGAGGCTGGCTCGTGCTGGAGTTTTTGTATCTTTTTGATTCTGATTTAGATTATAGAAAATATATATCAACATATGTTATGAATTCTCTCATTGCCAGTTTAATGTGATTAATTTGCAAAGGAACAATCATACAAGTCTAACATAACTTATACCCCAAGGATACAACATGATGCACAACATCTTTATTCGGTAATTCCATGTTGATACAGCTGTTTCTTGTTATACAAGTGTGAACATTCACCCCTCTATATCAATTTAAATACCTAAACCAGGACAAGCAAACAATAGACGACAAAGACATGAAATTCCAATTTATATTAGTAAATGATGTCTAACTAGCAGTGAGGATGCCTTATCTTTTAGTGACCTTTCTTTGACGAAATTGAAGTTGCTCCATATGCATTAAGAAGAATGGTCTTGAAGTTGTTGGTGATGTGGTATCCATCTTATGAGCTATTTTGGCATCTATCATGACTCATAGGACAATCAGGATTGGCAGCATATTGTCACGAATGGTCGTTGCGCACCCGCAATATCTTCGTCAACGAACCGTTCGTTGCTTTTGTGTGCTTGTATAGATGCTTGGCAACGCGTTTTGCTTTGGTTTTGTGTGTTTTTGCTTGAAAACTGTGAGAAACAACGTATCGTAACACTGTAGAGTGATCGCTCACCATGACGGACAAAACTACCCAAAAATGGCTCCGTTTTCGCGTGCCACAATTTGTTTTCTACTGGCTGCGGTGCGGTGCAAAACGTTAGCCATCTCAGCACCTTGGAACCCCCCAGGTAGCACCTAGCTGGATAGGGGTTTGAGATAGTGTTGGGCGCAGGATATTTGTGTTATTATTTTGATTGTAGGATTAAAATATCATTTGGGAAAGGCTGGTGGCTGCAATTCCATAAGGAATATTGGGACTAATGTTGCAAGGGTTGGGGAGAATAGGCTGGGGCTTAACAGGTAGAACAGGTGTGCTGTATGGTTGCTAAATCACAGTGGTCTTGCAGATTTGATCTGAAATATGAGTGGGTGGCCAGTCTTTGTGAGACTGGCTACCTCAAGAATCTACTAAAAGGATTAGTGCAATTAAGTGTTGTAAAGATAAGACATGCTCTATGTTGGTTCAGTTAATGCTGGGTCAAACACAGGGAACAAATGAAATAAAAAAGAAGAAAAGAAGAAGATATGTTTCAAATAGAGAAAATGGATATGGTAAGGTTCATCTTGAGGAATCCTACTGTTCCTATACCCTTAAATCTTAATATATGTGAAAAATGTATAATTACATTCACTTTGCAGAAGGTATATAAGTGCAGTTATATCTTGCCAAGATTATTTATGGTTAAAATTTTCGACAGATTAATCTTGGCATGCTAAACATTTATAATCTTAAATCTTTTCAGATTAATCTTGGCTATGCTCAACATTTATTTCCATGTAATGATATAATGCTGATAAACGAAGTTGCTGCTATAGATACTCATGTTGAGCTTAAAGTTCTTTTTTTGTCTATGCCCTTCAGCACTTAACCTGATTTTCTTTTTTTCTTTGTATGTCTAGGTTAGTGAAGGTCTTGATTTTGCTGACCGGGCTGGGAGAGCTGTGGTAGTTACTGGCCTGCCTTTTTCTACAAAGACTGATCCCAAGGTTTGGTTTTCAAATGAAAGATTTAGAATTGAGTTATGTACTTATATGATGTTTATAAAGTTATTTTAGTGATCAAGAACAAGATAGCAGCACTATATGCAAGCAAAGTCTTGCTCATGTTGAAGATGAATTGCAATATACCTATAGAATTGTACAACAGTACAAGTGATCTTTTGGTTGCTGCTCTCCAGATCATTTGGATGAACTACCAAGAAAAAAGTTCATTAATGATATTTTACATTTTAAGATTTTTTCCTATATGATTTACTAGAAAAGATCTTCAATTCTCTTCTTTCATTTTGTAGGTCAGTGACAAGAACTTCTAAAGAAATATAGGTTGGAATTTTAGTTTTTGCTGTTGTTGCATGACATTTCAGTCCTCTTCATTGAAGGAAATGTCCCCTGGAATCTTTTCTTGCTTTATGACTTGAGATTTATTCTTTTTTGTCATGATACTGTAGACATTTACCTTTGTCCAGCTTATAATATATGCCAAGAATGTATACATGCTTTATAATTAAGAACAAAGCATTAGGTTTTTTTAATCTCCCTTTCTTTTTGTTGCTTTTAGAACAAGAAATAGACAAATGTTTATAGCTGTTATCAACATACATTTTGGTGGTCACAACTAGAGGGTGAGTTTGATTTTCATGAAAAGATCACATGGAATTTCACAGGCCTTGTCCTCGTGACCTTTGATTATAATGATAATATATTGACATCACAACCAAGAGAATAAGAATCATTAGTGTAGATGGTAAAGTTTTTTGTGCCCCAAGTAATGTATCAACATAATACTTGAATATTTTATTGCTGCCAATTTGTAATTGGCATTAAGATGCCTACCTAATGATCCTTGCACTTGTCAAGCTGGTCAATTCAGCTGTCTTTTCTCTGGCTTCATCGATAGGTTAGAACTAATATTTTTTCTTTTGATTTTTCTACTATGAATTTTTATTGTAGGTTCGTCTCAAGCGTGATTACTTGGATCACTATGCTACATCGCAAAAGAAACAATCTAAGGTAAAAGGAAAGTTAGAGTTAATTAAAATAATAAATCAAATATCCTGATTTCAGCAAGGTTTAGTTGTATGTTTTCAAGCTTACGAAGTTCATCTGTATTGTTAGATATACATATCTATTTTTTGTTGATAGATAAATTTTTAGTTCCAGTTGTTCCATAAGGGATCTAGATTAGTGTTTATTACCTTCAATACTTTAGACTTTTTATGTTATCATTACAGGTTCTCACTGGCGAGGAGTGGTATGTCCAGCAAGCTGCAAGGGCTGTGAATCAGGCTGTTGGCCGTGTCATTAGACATTGTCATGATTATGGAGCAATTGTTTTCTGCGATGAAAGGTATTTATAATCAAAATTTTCTGGAAGTTTGGTGATCCCCAATTTATACACTAAGCTAGTGGTGACCATGGACCAATTCTGGTTGAGGGCAGTCTTAAATTCCACATGAATAGAGCTTGTTGGCTGTTCATGTCCATCTCCAGATCACCCAGAACATTCTGTCTCTCATATTGACCAAGATTAACCTGCAAAATATATAAGAACTAGGGTTGCCCCATCCAAGCTCAGTATGAGGAACGTAAGATTTGCATAGACTGTACGAGCAATTCAAAAACTTGTGACTTTTATCTATTTATCCAAAATTATAATGACTTTATAGTCTAAACTCTAAAGTTAAAGCAGAGAGAGAGAGAGAGAGAGAGAGAGAGAGAGAGAATGTCTTACTTCACAAGGTCTGTAGCAGTAGCACAAACCATAGGCTTAGCCAACATCACTATTTCACTGCATTAATATATCTCACTGTAGAATACTTTTGTATTCTTTGACCTGTGCTATTGTTTAAAATCATTTATCCATGTCTTGCTGAGAAATTGAATAGGTGTAATTTTTCTATTCTAGCCCTGCTCAGCCAACTAAAAATAATGTACATGCTTTCCATTCCTGTACCAAGCTCGTGCGGATGGATGGGACTTGAACAACTATAGACCAAGTGACTTATTGATTGATGGAACATAAAACTATAATTCTTTCTTAGACCATTCCGATTTTGTATATATGTGCAGGAAAACATTTGTTTCTTGAGTGTCTTGCAGTCTACTGATTTTTGGATGGTTATCCTTAGATCTGTCTGAAAGATTGTTATCCAGATATTTTTTTGGGTTTGTTTGTCTTGTCATACATATTTTGACTGTTCTGGACCATGTAATGCTCTTTTAGGGGTTTTGTTGTTTCATTTGTGGCTAACAGATGCATTTCATGTTCTAATTTATTAGGTTAGGAATTAGGATTGCACTTAAGACAATCAGGATTGCAAATAGTTCGTGCTGGGTCTGGAAATATTGCGAACTGATCCTTTGAGACCTTTGTTAAAGAGTTGATTTTTCGGTTTTGGGCTCCACTGAATGAGTTTTATTTGTTTCTTGGAATTGGATTTTCTTGTGTTCTTTTCTTGATGGAAAATTCATGCCTACCTCTGGGTTTTCCTGTGTTTTAATCCTCTTTTACATAGCAAGCAGGTTTAGAGTTTCTAGCATATGCTCTTCCTAGTTTAGTTTTCCATATTTTGATATGTCAAAGTACTATTCCTTTTGCCTAGGTTTGCTCAACAAAATTGGCAGTGTCAAATGTCATACTGGCTCCGTCCTCATATCAAGGTTCTGTGGCAGATTCTTGTTTTGTCTTTTTTATTTATGCAGTTCCTTACTGGTTCTCATGTTGTTTTGCAGTGCTATCCCAAGTTTGGGGATGTAGTTTTCACATTGACTAGATTCTTTCGAGACAAAGACTTTTGCGACTTGAAACCAAAACTAGCTAAAAGCTGCACTAAGGGTATCACTCAACTGAATCCTTATTTAGCCATCAATTATTCATTTCTCTTAATTCATACATAGTTGAGGCCTTCTGTCTTTTGTTGTGGTGGCTGTATCAAGTTGTCTTGGTGTATTATTGTTGATTTGTGCCCCTAAGTAAATAATTGCATATCAGACCTTTGATGTTTTTGTGATTCTTACTCCAGCAGTCCAGCTTTAGTTTTTTGATGGATTTTGTTTGTCTTATGACTCTTATCTACTTATGCTACCGATTTGCTTGCTTCTGCATGTTTGACTTGGAGTAGCAATACGCTTTGGTTAAGCTCCATGACATTGGTCCATTTTGGGTACAAACTGCAAATGAGATATTTTACCTTTTGTCCTTGCTTTGACCTCATGGGTTCTTGTTGTACTGGCGTTGGCTTGATTATTTATACTAAATGTTTTCTTAATTTTAAGTAAATCTTCGGTATTGAAACTTTCATTTACTCGCACCTTACTCATGTTGAGAAAAGAGCAAATGTTCGTGGCAGAGAAATCTTTGATGCCTCTGGAGAAGACCTTGTCATTGAAGTCTATCACCTCCTTGGTACAACTTGTCTTTTCTACTTTCAATAAATTTTTAATATTGACTGACCTGCACTTTTTTAAATTTACTAATAGTCACCTATTCTCTCTTTTGCCAGGCGCCTAATACTGAACATTGCTCCAGAAAGTCACTGTCATCTGTGCTCTCAACTAACACAAGTAGTGGTTTTGATCATTTGGGGCAAATAGTTCCCGCCAACCGTTCATCGGTTTCTAATGAACTTGGGTTCTGCTCGACCTTGCAACGTTCAGTAAATCACTTCTGCCATAAGAAGAGATTACCATTCAAGGAAGGAATATCTAAAAATATTCAGTATCAGGATACTGTAGTGATTGATTTGGCAAATGATACATCATCGAGTGAACAAGCATGTGAGGTTGCATTTGCAGCTACTTCTGCAAAAAGGCCTAAAACATTGGAACCGGTTGATAATGTTGAATGTCAAAAAGATACAGATTCAAAGTGGTTGGTTATTTGGTTATTTGTTTGGTACATTAATTGAGATCTCCAATAAATATTAACCTTGGGATGCATTGTATACAATTGTTACAACTTCTTCATGTAGGCCTGCAGATTTTGGGAGTTCTACCAGTGTTAGGCTGACGCAACATGTTCACGCTGTGAAAGAAACTTTTCAGCAACCAACATCACATAAGGAGAAGCATAATACCTCTATACCTTGTACTGATAAAACTAGTGGTTCTGCTTTTCTAATGCAGGTTACTTTCGTGCTTATTTTATTATTAGTACTATTGTTTAATTGACCATTTTTGGATAATGACTAGTCAATTTTGATTTTTAATATAGTAAATTTGATGGTATAGTGCCCTGCTTGTTTTGGTTGGCATTTGATGGCTATCAGATCTTGTCACATGGAAGAATTGAGATTTGACATGAACCATCAGCTGCCTATTAGAATTGATTGCTAATTAATGCAACTTGATTATATAGAAAGTCAACAGGCACTAAAAATTCCTTATCTTTATAGTTTATTTTCTTATAAATCTTTGTCATAGGCTACAAGCATGCAGATATTATACAACTGGTATGCACCAAGTTAGTTCCTTTGTGACTTGCATAATAATTCACTAGAAAAATATTATCAACTAGTTTCTAGTAAAATGCACTTGGCCGATTATGGTGTAAGGTTTACCATTGAGTTTAAAAATTATCTGATAACAACAATCCTCTGTGTATCTTTATTATGTTAAATGATGGCTATCTTCACTCTTGCCTTCATATTTTTCTACATTCATCCATTTGTCTGTTATTTTTCTTGAGTTATAAGTGCTTGTGCATTGGAATCTAAAACCTCATTCTTCTATTGCTGAATCATTTTATATACTAAACTGCTAAGAGACATATCCCAGATGTGTCATGTCTAACATGCTTTTGACACTTCATATTTACATATTAGTTATCGTTGTCCAACCTTACTTTGGCTTTTTCCTACCTTGATTCAATCCTTTTCTCTCTGACTAAAGATTTGAAAAGCTTCCTTAATACATATTCTTCTTATCTGTTAGCGTTAGTGGGCAAAGCCCTTAAACATGAGACATATGATAGTTCCACCAAGGATGGGTCAAAAGCTTCATACTAATGCAAGGAAAATTTCCATGCTGAAAAGCTTCATCTTAATGCAAGGATACTCCCATCACTTACTTGAATCAACACTACCGATGGTTAAGTATGGAGTTGTGAGTGAATCAATGGTTTAATTTGAGGCTTATGAGTTCATTAGTGGAAAGTGGTACAAAGTTTCACCTTTTGACCTTTTTGAACCGGCAATAGGAACAAGAAGCAGATAGATGGTTTTTTCTGGATATTTAAGCTTTCAAATTTACTATGCAATATTACTGAATGGCATAGGTGTCAGAATTAAGTTCTAGCCATGGATATCCAGATATCTAAGAGTAGATGAATTTATCATGTAGATTTTAGGGATTGATATACAAAAAGTTGCTTTAACCCTGTGATATTAAATGTAAAAAAAATTGCTTGTAATGGCCCTATGCAAAACTTAAACTGAAAAATCTAAGAAAGCATTGGTACTGATTAAACATGTGGTGTTGTTTTTATTTTTTACTGTGTTGTCTCATTTATTTAACTTTTTCACCTTTTGATCTGTCCAAGTTGTAATTGGAAACTGGGTCATCTGGTGGCAATATATAGAGACATCAAATTATAGTTGAGTTGCATAGATCCTGAAAATTGAAATGGTGTTTTCTATAATCTGTGGTCATTTCCACATACTTGATGACATTCCTTTGCTGAAGATTTTGATGCAGTTTTCTTTTCATTGAAATGTTTTTGTGTTTCCAATGCATATAATTGCATTATGAATTAGTACCGGAAGTTCCAAACCTTCTTCAGTTTTTATTGTTTATGAAGTGGAAATGAGCAACTTGTTTTGGTGGTTGAATCTACAGCAAGTTTTTCTTAGTAGAACTAATTGGTTCCACAACATTAATTATTCTCTTTATAGGGACTACAGTGGTGTTGCCTTAGTTTGTATGCTTATTCTGTTGATATTTTTCACAGGTTCAAGAAAAGCTTACTGTTGCAGAATATAAGGAGTTTGTGGGCTTCATGAAGGCATTAAAATCCAAAACAATGAAAATTACACCTTTGCTGGAGTCCATTGCAAAGTTATTTTCAAGTCCTGGGAGATTTTCTCTTCTCGAGAGGTAACTCCATTTAAGTTGTCTTAAAAGAATTTCATCTAAAACTGCTTGGCCTTTTTTGATGTTAATGGAAAGCATAGTTTTTGATAACTTATGGAATTTTGGTTCTTGTAAAGATATTTTGACATGGGCATCAATGCTATACTCTTCACAATCTAAAATGTTCCATGTTCATCAGCATAATTTAAACCTCTTCCTGTTAATGCCATTCTTAAAATTAAGACTCTGTAAAGGGTTTTAGGATAATTTACAACTGATTTTGAACCTGATGTCAACCCTGTAAAACATAGCACGAGTCTATGTAGTAGAGGAACTCACTTAAAAATTTAAAGACTGGTTGAAGGGCAGAAAGGTTCATCTTATTGGTTGCAGTTAATAATATGTGTCGAGCTCTGTAAATTCTTTCCATGCCTAGGATGTCTTGAAGAAGCTGTAAGTTACAAGTCTTTCCATGGTGCGTACTTTTATTTCGAAGGTGCCTATGATATCTAATATGATCTCAATGCAAGATTGATATGCCCTTTTCCAAGTGTGGCATGTCCAATACTTTATCATGTTGTCCTGGTTCATTTAGCTCACGTGCCAGGTTGTGTGAAAGGTTGATTAGCAAGAAAACCTTGTCCATGATGTCCCATTTGGTCTGCAAAAGACTGGCATGATAGATGTGAAGTATGGGTGTGCATATGCATACATCAAGCATCTTGTCGGTACAGTTAGCATTTGTCATTCATCATTGTCAGTGTTCTGTTTTTGTGATGCATATTTTATTAAATTGAAACATCTAATTTTGGCTTTATGGCACAAATGCCTGGTGAAACTGGATGTTTTGTTTCTCTGGTGAAATTCTTCCATGGCTAACTGTGCTGTCACACTAAAGTGGCAGAGTACCTCCTTTTTCAAATTATTGAAAAGAGTCAGGTGCAGGAATAATCAATCCCGAGACCATTCCTAACCATCAAAATCTCCTTGTCTCATCCATGTGTGTTGCATAAGCTGAATGTTAGCATATAAGACATTCAATCGCTTGACATGGAGTTGCACAACTCTTAATAATATATTTATTGTACTTAAATCTGTGCATCTGTGATCACTTATTTAGGTTTCTACTAGCAAAAAACATATCAGCTATTGCACACATCTAATTTTACTTTTTTAATGTATTTTAGTTCATGTAATCGTCAAAAGGCAAATGGCTGGAAATGAGTTGCTAATGAATCAAGCACGGTTTTTTTGGACGTATGCCTGTTGTTCTTCACACTTTTGTTAGTCCAAGAAGTGCTGTATATATATAGATGCTGATTTTTATATTAGCAACTTAGTTGGGACCTTGTGTCTTGTTATGCACCCATTTTGTACTATTCACACTTAGATCTGCCTTTATTTGTTTTCCTGAGGCTTGTCATGGTAGTTATGCTCTATAGATCCTTTGGTTTTGTGCCTTTGAGATGGATGCTGTTTATTGTAATGAATTTCAGGTTCTTTATGTCAATTTGAGCTTTCTCAATTTTTGATTGGTGCTCTATAATTGATCCAACCTACATTGAAGGTAAACACTTGGATAATGAGTATTTCATCCACGTCTTTTGTCTTCCATTGTTATTTTCTATTTTAACACAACTTATCATTGCAAGATATATCTTTCTTGGACTTTCTCAATATCATTTTTGATGATTTTTATTCATCCTAGACGATCTTCATTTATCTTATTCTCTACTTCCGAACTAACATAAAGGAATCATTTCTCTTTCTGTTGAATATTTCAGAAAGTAAATTGATAAAAGGAAAGAAAACAAATTCTTCTGCATTTGTCATTTGCAAATTGGTCCTGAGAACTGTGCTTGTAGCTCATAGTAGATTTTTGGGTAGTAGTTCTAGGCATTATGACATTGGTCTCTCATTGTATGTGCACCTGTTTCTTTCCCTGTCTCTGTGGTTTGTAGTAGCGTTGTTTTTCAATAGAAGCAATGATTTAATTATTAGTCCCGCTGCTTCTGTATCAAGCAGCACATGTGTTACTGATAATTAGTCTGTATTGGCAACCATATGTTTCAGGCATTTGGGTTTGTTCCTTTGCCTATATTATCAGCCATAGTACTTGTCATGGTCCATTTGTTTGTTTTACTGACTAACTATTCCTGTTTGTTCAACTTCTCTCCATACCTTTTTTCTAAGAAGATGCTAACACAAGTGCGCGACCATTTGCTTTCTCATTCACTCCCAACAGGTTCAAGGATTTTGTTCCTGCAAAATATCATCCCATTTATGAGCAGCTTCTTAGAGTTCATGGCACGAACAATGATGTGTAAGAAAATGCTACCTGTTTTGCTGCTGATTTAAGTTTAAAATTTCTTTCATCAAATTCTTTCATATTTGATTGTTGACACTTGACAAAGCCTGTGGCTCTACTCAGTCCCTCGCTTGTCATGAGTTTAGGCTGTAACAGGATCTGTGGCTTTAGCAATATGTCAAGATTGATCAAACAAATTTAGTGTGGTGAAATATTATTTTTGATCCTTGACAGATGATAGAAGGGTTGTCTTTGACATAATAAAATAGAGATTAATTGTGCTTTCTTCCTTTATGCATTTGTCTATTATTGAAGCTTCTTGAAGGTTGACAAGAACAGGGAAGTATTTTTTTTTTTTTTTCAAAAAGAGATGTTATGGTGAGATATTATGATTGTGTTTTGTACTAGTCAACATGGATATGTATTAGATTGGGGCTTGCGAGCATTTTAGTTATCTATGTTTCCTTTTTTATTACATGGAAAGTTTATGATCTCTGGGAGTATTAGTTGCAACAATTAAACAAGTGTAACAATGCCCTCAGGCAAACTTGTCCTTGTATCTTTTCTTGTTAGTAACTTAACCTGTTTCATAAATATTCCAGGTACATTGCTTAAAAATCTGTAATTGAAACAATTACTCTAATATGTATAATAAAAAATGATTTGAGTGGTCATTAAGCAAGTAAAATTAGTACTGAAGATTTTTTCTGCAAATAAGGATGATGATGATGTTTAATACGAGAAAAAACCCTAATTAACAATTTACCATAAAATTTTAGGTCTTCAGCAATACTTCATTTTTACTGTAGGGTTTGAATCTTTGGCTTTCAGGTGTTATATTATGTATTGCACATGAACATAGTTTTGATTGATTAGGAGTTCTGAGTGTAGATTGATTAGTTGTGGTTTGAGTTTGTAGCCTCTTAATTGTTTGAACTATTTTGAGACAGTTTTTATAAACGTTGCGTGTTCCTTGTACCTATAAATAAAGCATACCAAGGAAAATCTATGAGGTGCTAATTTAGGATTTTTGGAAGGTTCATTTTTGTATGCGTTCTCTTGATCCTTTTTTCTGTAAAATGAATTCAAGATGATTCTTTGTTAAAAGTTTGGCTAGATTCTAACTAGAAAGATAATGGACACAATTTTAGAATAAACTGGGTGATAGTTGGAGCATCTATGCTTGTTTCTTTGTTTTTAATTTTCCTCTTTTACAAAATATTTTATTGCCTCAATGATTATGCATCAGTGTTCCATTCTTCTGCAGATGAATTGAATCCAGTGCTTTAATACAACAAGCTTCTGGAACTATCCACATATCTGCATTATTGTACATGTGCATTGTGCAACTTCAAATTGTGTATTCTATCCTATTTAAGCACCCTTGCTGAATCATTATGGCTAGATGCAGAATATTTATTGTCTCAAAGCTTTTTTTGATGAATCAAGTGTCTCTTTATTATGCAATCGGTGCTCATTCAAGAGTGAAACATGAGCCAAATATTAGCATCTAGTGAGAGGTAAGACAGCAATGATAGTTGCTAATTTTACTTTGTTATGACAACTTTGGTTGTTGATTTATGTTATTATACTGGATCATGTATTTGACAGTTTCAGACTGGACCATCTTGATTTTATTTTTTTCCATTTCATAGGTTCACACTTCATCGGGGATCTTTTGCAGCTAATATTATGTGCCACGAGGAAGTCCGTGGGTCTTGAGTTATCGACAAACCTGATCCTTCTATTCATCGAATGTGTCAGTGTTTATTTTCTTTAAACATTGTCCCCGGGAGGAGTCACTCTTTGTTGTACAGCGGATGAGCAGCATAATTAAATCTAGCTGATGATGGGCTTTACTATACTGTAAGCCAGACAATTGGTCTATCTGCCTGTTCTGTTCAAACGTGAGAAGGCAGTTTGGGTTAGACGAGACAACGGTTGACTAGGCCTAAAGTAGAGGATATCGATAAGCTGTGCTAAATTATCTGTGAGAGTTGCAATGCCACTTCATATGAGTGTAAATCTAGAGACACCCGTGGATCTTGGTGATAATTCCAAGCCTATCGGTTCTGCAGATTGTTCTTAGAGATCCGGAAGTGGTGTATGGGTTTCTTCATTGGAAAACTTTGTTACTCGCATCATTACCCCTTTTTTTCAAAACATTCTCAATTAGCACCCTCTTTTCAAAAAAATTTCATGGAAGTAATTTTTTTTTTTAAATGCTGATATCATCTCTTGAGACCACACGCGAGGGCCTCTGGTCGCCTTCGCCCTTTGCTGCCTCCATCACCTTGACGGAGGGGGTTGCTGGTGGGGGCGCGTGAGCCTTTCCTACGCTCGTTGTCGCCTTGGCGAGCACGAGGATGGCGATGACAGTGTAAGGAGGTGAGAGTGAAGGCAAGGAAAAAATATTTTTTTTACAAGAAATGGATGTTTTATGAAATTATTTAAAAATAAAAGTACTATACGAGAATCACTTTATTTGAGAATTTATCCTACACCGATCTAGTAATTGCTAGTTGGTCTACTTGTGTGCGGCATCAGTATTTATCTAAGGCAATATCTGAGAACGAACATCTTTAAAGCCTCACAAGCATCCAGGAGAATCTGAGCAATGAGATTTCGGGAATAAAGGTTTTGTGCAGTAGTATAAACATGAAATCTGTAAGCAGTAAAAGGGTTATGCTACAAATCTGTAGGCTAAGATTGATAAAAAGTGCACACTGCCAAAATTTCACAAGCGGGTAACTGACACATGGACTTCCAACAAAACAAATAAATGTGGGAAAAAAAAAAGATTTTCCTGGTTTCTCCTTTCTTCAAGAACTCACTGAGACGGAATTCTGTAAAAGTAGCACAAAAGCGAGCTTTGCAGTTGCTAGATGACAACAATTCATGCCTGGTCTGTTTCGACTGATTCATCTGCGCAGAAATGAAGCCTACTGAATCACACATTCGCATCTTCTGAAACTTTCGCCTTCAAAATCATCATCGGATAATCCATCATCACTACCAAATTTAGAAGGTCAGATGATGACAAGGTCAGAGTCTTGTTTTCCATACAACATATGCAAACAATAATGGGCAACTCCTATTTTGTGTCGTGCAACATTATAAAGAACAATATAACTTTAAAAGTAAATTGACTAGAGATGTGTGTTATCAAAACATACTTTCTGAACGGTTCATGATAATTACGACACCAGACAGCTGATAGAAGATACACACGCTCTGTGAAGCAAAATCCAGATCCAAAAAACCAGACATTGGTAAAATCTGCACATATCTAAACCATGGCCAATGGCTTCTCATCCATGAGCTTCTTAAGATTAAAAAAAATGAAAAATCTTTCAATTGGCAACACGTAAACACAATATCACGTCTCCGAACAAGTCTAATCCCTTCCAACAGTTTGCCTAGATTATTTTGAGCACAAAGTGCGCAATCACTGTCAGAAATTATCAAACTTAAAGCAAATGCATGCTTAATCAGTTGATAGATTTTCAAGAAAATAAGCAGGATTTGATTGAGCTCACCTTGGAAGGTGTGCAAGAATCAAAGAGGCCACATAACTCTTCTCAATAGGGCAGATGAACCAGAACAAGATTGACAATCCAAATACAACATCCAGACACACTACAGGGGGAATTTTCTGTTTTTTGTCAATATACACACTACATAAATTACTGGTTCTACAACAATCACCAAAAATATTTTGTAAAAGCATCTATAAGGGTCATCTGAAGCACTGATTCCCAGACCTTGGCCATTGGATGTTAGCTCTATATATCTGCTTTAATTCAATGATGAAAATGTACATTAGAGGAACCTTCTCCTAGTCATCAATGTTCTCTTACAAGGAACGTGATTAAAGTATGAACAGAGTGAATGGTAATCAATGTTTGTCTCTACGGTGTTTCTTAAGACATAGTTGAAAACAATAAAGGCAAGCTAAGATGCTTATGCATGCATGAACATTCATACATGTATTACCTTTCCCTGTAATGTAGATGATGCATGAAACGAAAGCCAGTTTGCAAGTTCATGCAATTCCACAAACTACTAGAATGTTATTAAACCCAACAAGCATAATTTAAAAAAAAGAGTCACTGTGAACTAAATCTCTGATGATATGTAAGGAAGGCATGAAACAAAAACAATATAATTAAAACTAGATAAACATAAGCTGCATAGGGTTTTACTTTCAACAACAATGATGAATATGTTGTAGATCTGATTATAAGAAGTGTGATATGGTCATACTACTCCAAATGCTGTTCACTAACAATTCTTAAACATACCTGGCTTCAAACTCTCTTATCTCAGCAAGCTCTTTTCCGCATTTGTCGGTCCACTGAACTTTCCTCCCTACAGTACAGCAAGACATCTTGTTGTCTGCCTCTTCCAACAACTCACGAGCATCATCAGCTTCACATACCATAGAATAACCTTTGGAGGGCTTCTTCATATTGCTCTTGAGACAAGTCTTTCTTTCATCCCACTTGACAGCATCATTGATTGTTAACTTGCCTCTATCAGACGAAGGTGATGAATCTGATGGAATTTTAGACTGGTGAACAAGGCTAACCTTCCTGGAATATGGCTCATCAAGTCTTGCAGAAGAACAACCAAAGCAGGAAAAGGAGGCACATCCACAAGAAGCATGATCATTATTAGAAGCCAGCTGAGAACTTGCCTCGACTTCTTGTTCAACCAATCGGTAGTGATTCCATGAAGAAATTTTTATAGGCTTGTCCTCATTTCTCCGGCCAAGAAGAAGAAGAGCAAGACCATTGCTGTACCCTGATGCCGAAGAGGAAAAAAATCCTCCTCCTTCCACAGCAAAAAGCATTTCTGTTGCTGATCTAATCCAATAAGCAACACGTCTTTTAACCTAGTTGATGTAAGGAAGGACTTCTCTTGGAAATGAGTGTCTGCTGCTTATCCATCTCAATGCTCACTCATGCAAGCTGTCAACGATATTCATTAGAATGCTATGGCATTTTGCTTCTAAAGAAACTTATACAGAATTATAAATTCAATAAGACAGCTTTTGTGATATGGTATTTCCGAATAATTGGACCATCAAAATGGAAAGAAGTCTCATATGGAATGAAAAAGTTAATCAAAGTAACTAAGATATCCACCTTAAAAAAAGTTAATGCCCACAGAGGAATCAGTTCACTTTGCCTGTACAATCTACACTGTATGACTGTCACACAAGTTAAATTAAGACTTTTGCAAAAGATGACATGTCGAAACATTGCGGTAGAGAAATGCAGGTAATTCTTAAACTTTTAACTGCAGAGAACTTTTATACGAGTCTTAATGAGAGGCTCTTCTAAACCATATTAAATGGCTGTATGCTAAAGAACATTGTAGTAACTATTGTCAAGAAGGTGGGTAGCTGAAGGCTTCCTCAAAGCTTTATTTCATGTCACTTCAAATATCTCAATCCAAAAGTTTTCCTGACAAGTTTGGATTTTATTTCAAAGATCTCATTCAGCAAGCTAGTAGCAAAAGAGTTCACTGCCATGGTGACAGTGCTTATCTCTCATGTTCTTTTCATGAAAATGCAAAACAAAAAATAACCGAAATAGGGAGGACATGGAAAAAGAAAAGAAGGTAACAAAGAACGGTTCTTTACATAAGATCTAAACAGGAACCGCTCACTAGATCTGCGGCTACCCCGTCAAGTGCAAGTAACATACAGTTACTAAGATAAAGCGCAGTAACGAATGGTCAACGCCAATGCAAACTATAGAATGGCGACAACGCCAAATTACCACCGCAGTCATCAGCCCATCTCTCACTCAATCCGCAAAAGCAGAAATATCACCTCCCACGAAGAAAAAGAACAACTTTGTCAAGGAAACGGAAAACGAATCACCGAAGGGACGCAGTAGCGCAAAAATGAGCGAAGAAAACAGAGAAAAGAAAACACGCATCGGTATCCTACATTTTCCAATCCCAGACTCTCTTCTCACCCTAGATCAGCGAATCTAGGGCTCTATCACCGCTTGCTCGCCAAACCCACGAGGCTGCAGGATCACAAAGTACGAGAAGATCGAAACAAAGGTCGGAAGAGATCGAACCTGAGCGGCATATCACATAGCGACCTCAAGAAAAGGAAAGGGATCGAAGCTATGGCCGAAGAGCGAAGACCCCACCCGCCGTCTACCCTCTTTACCCAATCTTTATACTACTAGTATACGAAAGTAGACCAAACATTTCTTATTTATTTATTTTCTTTTATTTACCCCCAAATCACGTTACGTAGTTGTCATCATTTGTGTCAAAATATTATTTGGTCATAATAATAATAATAATAATAGCAAAAATAATGATGCTGATGACACATGTCGTTATATAATATGGCATCGTTGGCGCATGGGCCAACTCAACAAGTCGGATCCGAAATATTTGATATCTCTGTCAACATATAACATATAACGGTTGGCTGGTGGGACCACCTATATCGTTCCATGTTAAGATTTAGATGGCCCACCTTCATCACGTTCGATTTGTTTGGGCTAAAACCGGGCCGTATTGGGCCATGATGTCATTAGCTACGTCGTGTTTCTGTTGGACTCGAACCAAATAACGCTCGATGCATGATTACTACGACGGGGACGGATCAGAGCGGAGTATCCTTCTACTTTCCACCTAATTGGAGGCATAGAACATGATTTTTATTAGGCTATAATGATGAGACTCATCCACTACTGTTCCTCCCTCTGTCACCTTCGACTACATCGAGCTTGGCCAGGAGTCTCTTGGGAATTGGCAAGACTGCAACTCCCTTTTGTTGTTGACCAGCGACCATGGATAACACTGTAGACCTGTCCGCTTCTGAGACAGAGATGACAGTGCCGAACCATGATACTACAAAGCACGCTTATCTCCTGCTGCAATTGGCATCAGAAAACATGTACGCGATCGAGAGAAAGCAGCGGCACTCTGTCCGCCTTTTCAAAAGCTAAGTAGTATTTGCAGCCAAGGGTGGCTGAACCATGAAATGTTTACGCCGTGTGGCTTCTGCTCGTTCTGAAACCTGATGGAAAGAGATACGGTATGATCTTATCGTCAGAAAACCGGCTTAATTTATAGCGTGTAATCATGCTCTTGCGTGATATGAACGAGGATAAAGGAGCAAAGGAAGGGTGGGAGAGATGGGAGAATCCCTCGTCTCATCTTCTCGGAAAAAGAATGGCGGAAGAAAGAGTCAATGACTTTATGAAGAATGAAGCTCTTTTCCTTTCTGATAAAGAATATAACGTCGCTCTTGAGCCAACAAAAGACTCCCAGTGGAAGAGTATCGAACCAAAGTAGTCGAGTGACCTCAGACCTCCCTCCCTTACTCCTTATGCTGATCACGCAGGCATATATAACCAGTGATTCTATTCATCAAAACAACCTTCATCATCATCATGAAATCCGCAAGCACAAATGTTCTGAGACTTACAGTCCACCTTTTGCCAGTATTTATCTGCATAGAACCTTCAGCAATGTGACGATTGATTTATCTTTACAGATATAGCGCTGAGAGATTTTTCTGGAGTTCCGAGTACAATGTGATATTTTATATGCCTATCCATTTCATGTGAACAAACGAATCTTATCGTGCAATAGAAATACATACCTTTCTTTCATCATCAACATAAGTTATCGTTTCCGTGGAGACTTTTCTCTGCGATGTGTTTGACATGCTGGAGCACAAGAACTGTAGAACTGGCCTCCTTAGTCAAAAGTCTTCCGTCTATGATTTCGACACCACGCCAATTCTTCGAAGCAATTGGAAAAATACTACTAAACTAAGCTTGATCTCAGTGTTTCTCTTCCTGAAACGAGGAAACACGACCTCTACTGTGCCGACTTCTTTTATCTTTGACGCCACGTACATGGATAAGCTTTCCGCGAGCTGCTCTCATGGTTGACTTGGTTTACAAAAGCAGATTGCTATCAGATTTGATGTCTTCTTCTTCTTCTCCCGTTTCCAAAGTGTCCGGTCACCATCCACCAACCCATCTGCTCCCTAAGTGTGCATGTCCTGTATAGAACATTTTGCTATGTGGAGAGTGCGTATATGTATATAATGCAATTAAATGTGTACGTATAATCTACCGAGTTAAGAAGCAAACCCCTCTCAAGGCACGTGGGACCCGTGCGACCCAGGACGTCGTTGTCCAATTAAAAACAGCGTCCGTCTCGCTTTGAATGCGTGGACAGTAATGGAAGGCGTCTCATCGTGGCGGGTGGTCGAAATACGGGAATGGTTCGTTTGTTTTGAAGTACGATTCGAGAGAGCGGGACGGATGACGGCCGTCCGATGCAACAGGCATCGGTCGATCTGTTAGACGCGATGTCCCCACGTCGCCATCGTCGAAAGGTCCTTCCATCGTGTCGCTGCTTGGACCGTCCGATGGCGAGTGAAGGCTGGCCGTTGGGTCGCCCACCTCGTGCTGGTCTTGCTTTTATATATCTCTCCCTTCTGCGCTTCGAAGCCAGTACTTAGCGCGGCCCCGTTCCCACCAACCTTGGCGTCCGCGGGTCGTATCCTCATCTTCCCCCTCCTCCGGACCGACATTGGCTTGATCGTCTTCCGTCAACAGCAACGTGTGATCCTCTTTCTTGATTCCTTCCTTCCTTGCTTCCTTTTTTAGGTGGTGTTGGTCAGTGAATCTTCCTGAATCCGGCAAGAATCTGTATCGGAATCTTCTCGCTGATTTCTCTCAAGCTTTCTCAGAGCGTCGGAAGAAGGAAGAAGAAGCCAGAAGGAGAAAAAGAAGTACAAGATGGTGGGGATTGTGGTTGGGGATGGCATCTGTGGGGGGATGGAGGAGATGGAAGGAAGGATTCCCGAGGAGGTGGAGAGGAGGATTCCCGAGGAGGCGAGGGGGATCTTGCAGCGGCTGGCCTCCAGCTGGTGCGACGTGGCCGACTCCATGGCGCTCGAGGTGGTGCCCCTCAAGGGAGCCCTGACCAATGAGGTCTACCAGGTCAACTGGCCAACCTGCGCCACGGCCGCCGGGAAACGACCCCATACGGTGCTGGTCCGCATCTACGGCGAAGGAGTGGACGTGTTCTTCGATCGCGAGGAAGAGATCCGGACGTTCGAGTGCCTGTCCAGGCACGGACAGGGGCCGCTCCTCCTTGGCCGCTTTCCCAACGGCCGCGTCGAGGAGTTCATTCACGCCAGGGTACGAAAAATCATGATTTTTTTACTTTTCCTCACAAATTACAAAATTGGCTGGTGTTCTTTTTGGTGCTTCTCTCCGAATTCGAGTTAATCTATACCAAATAACTCCGAAGCGGAATAATTTATTCCGATTAATCCCCTTTATTTTCCTCGTTTTTTCTTGGCTGCGAGTCGATGTGCTTCTGTGATTTCCTTACAAAGATCCCTGTCCCTCCCAATTTCTAGAATCTTTTTATCTGCTTTCTCTTGAGTTTCTTGATATTTTGGTAACTTGTGATGTCAAGAATTTGACTTCGGCATTTTCCCCCACTATATGTGGATGTAGACTGAAGCATGTAGCTTGTTTGATTTATGCAAACCTTTCGTCACTGTGGATCCTCTTTGATTGATTTAAGACAAAAAGTACAGAGACGAGGAATATTAGATTTTATAACGGGTGCGAAATCTCGGGCATCTGATTTGGTAGTTCAGCATTGAATTCCGTAAAGAAAAAGCTTCCACGTTGATTGAGAAAATTCATGAAAGTAAGTCAATTCCCATAAGCGAACTTTGATATCAATGAGAATTTATATCCATTATTGCCGGTACCTGAAGCACCCTCTTTTCTATCCAAAAGTTAAAGGAAAAGGAAAAGAATCTTAATTAAATTGAATACAGTAAATTTTTTATACAAAATATTTTGCAAATGACCATTTCTCTGTTCCTTTGATTCCACATACATATCTGTGCTGTTGGATAGAGTTAAAGAGATTCTCCAATATCTTGCAGTCTAAAATTATCATTTACCATAAGAACATCTTTTGGGCCTATAATTGCTTTACGGACGTTTTTCTCATTGTTCTCCCTGCTGGAAGTGAAAACCATACGAGTAGAGAATGCATTTGGTTGATAATAGTATAATACTATCACGAAGATAAAGATCTTCTCTTATCCTGCTTGTCACATTGGATATTGCAGACACTTTCTGCTGTTGACCTTCGTGACCCAGAAATATCTGGTCTCATAGCATCAAAGTTACGAGAGTTCCATGATCTTGATATGCCTGGTCACAGAACTGTACTCCTCTGGGGCAGATTGAGGTATGGTGCTGGAATTCTTTGGCTATTATGTGCTTTTATGAAATCGTTGCCATATTTGGATGCTGACTCTTCTTTCGTAGATGCTGGCTTAAAGTAGCCGAGAGCTTCAACCCTGCTGAAGAAATTGAAGAGTTTTGCTTGGACGGATTAGAGGAGGAGATCATGACATTGGAGAATGAACTTTCTGAAGAGGATCAGAGGATTGGCTTTTGCCATAATGATCTTCAGTATGGCAACATTATGATTGATGAAGAGACCAGAGTAGTGACTATCATAGTAAGTTGTTCTGTCAACAATACATACAATCTCACTCAGTTAAAACTACAGCACTAAGTAAATGATGCTCATGGTTCCCCTTGTTACCATTACTTGGTCATGGTAAATGATACAGTGAGTTTTTTTTCCTTCACTATCTGTTAATATGGAGATGACATGTATTAATAATAGCCAAACCATGTTATCTTACAAGTGGAAATAACTAACATATGTACCAATATTGACAGTTAGACGTGTGGACTTACTTTTTTGATCTTTCAATGATACTCAATGTTCTTACATAAAAAGTGTGATGTAAGAAATTTTTGGTAAAGAAATGATTTCCAGTTGAAATTAACTAATATACATTGAGCAAACCTTTCAGTTCTCTGGATTTTGAGCAGTAACATGATCGTTAAATAGCCATCTGAAGTAACCCTTACATCATTAGTTTGCATACTACATGATTGGCACATGCTTGCAACTGCATTTTGTTGTCTTTGATTATGAACGATTTAGATTTTCTTACAAACATTTAAGCTTTGTTCTGGATTAACATGGCAGCCTGTTACTGTTGTACCATTTAGTGCCAACAATTCTTCACCTGGACATTGTTTTCAGCATATCGGTACTTCTCAAGTTTGACCCTTGTCCCCCATATCCACTGCTTGGATATCCAACTACCATAGACTTGATTTATGCATCTCTATATTTCGTTGTTTTTGTTCCTGACAGGACTATGAGTATGCAAGTTTCAACCCTGTCGCATATGATCTTGCTAATCACTTCTGCGAGATGGCTGCTGATTACCACAGCAAAACACCTCACATATTGGACTATAGCAAATATCCAGGTGATTTGTTTCTTTGTACTCTTTCTTTTTTTCGAATATGTATCTATATTCCTACTTTTCTATTATGACTCATCAAAGTTAAAAGTCAACATCAACTAGATTAACACCATGTCATCAAAGTCTGACTTTGTGTCTACTATGGCATAGATCATGAGGAGCGTCAAAGATTTGTAAAGCTATATCTTGGTTCTTCAGGTAAAGAAGGTTTAAACCACTGACACAAATAGAATCATCACTGTCTCTTACTAGCTTTTTATTTCACTAAGTTAACAGCTTTGCATACTTGAAAAATTTTAAGTTTCGATGGGATACAAGTTGTTTGTCAAGTAAGTAACATAGTTATAATATGAAGTAACATCAATTAAAAACATGCCTCCTGAAAGACTGAGCATAACATAGTTATTTGTCTAGATTTATGAAAATAATTTTTCTTTGCTCGTCATATCGATTCAAACACAAGCTATCATACTTGAGGTAGAACTACAGATGGTAAACTTATAGTGATGATATTATATTTTATAATGAGTGTTACATTTTAAATTGGCTTACCATATTTTTTTAGATGCACAAAAACATACTGAGTAGTGAAATGGGTAAGTGGACTTCATTGTTCCGATCAGAAATATGAAAGAGATATATTGCGATTCTCTTGCAAATGACGGGGCTAATCAGATTTGTGACATTGTTAACTTGCTTCAATTGAGAAAAAGATAATAATGCACAATTTCTACAAATCCATTGAGAATTTTAAAAAATAAACTACAAGAATCTGTTTTAGCAAAATTTCATTGCTTGTGGTAGAATATTTCTTATTTTCAGTTGTGAAACTTGTCATGCTATGACAGTGTGCTTTTACCTCGAGTTTATTCACTTGTACCATATGATTTGTGAATGAATGCAGTCAAAATATCGACTAGGACCAAATCTTTTGACATCTGAGAGAGACCATCTATTTTTCTTAATAGGTGAGAAACCAGGAGACACCGAGGTTGAGAATCTGCTGATGAATATTGAGAAATATGCTTTGGCAAGCCATCTCCTGTGGGGTTTGTGGGGAATAATATCTGTAAGCTGCTTCATGTCTCTGGTGTTCTCTGTTGGTTTTGGTAATCATACGTGTTCTACACTTACGGATGATCGATTCTCTTTTCCTGGTAGGAACATGTAAACAAAATAGACTTCAATTATATGGAGTACGCAAGGCAGAGGTTCCAGCAGTACTGGCTGAAGAAGTCTGCAACCTTGTATCCTGGCGTTGAAGGATAGTCGGGTTGAAAAGGACGTCGACTCTGCCTACTGGAAGAGTGCTCCGATCCTGCCAACTTAATAATGCTTATGATGCCTTGTGTGCCATTCGCACCAAATCTACATCTGTAAAGAATAATGGAACACTGCCATGGTATTGTAAATTCTTGGTTCTGCTGCTACCTTGTATTAGTAACTCTCTGCTATACTTCGGGACAATGTCCGTCCATTACTATATTTGCTCATTGGGATGCATAATGCACAGTAGAGGGCTGGTTCTCATTATTGGACTCATCAGTTCCCATGAAGCATGATGTCTAAAGTTACTGCTAATTCGACTCCATATTATGGGGGAGTTTTCCATCCTCTTCTCAGTACTATTTATCAGATAGTTTTTGTTGTGCCTTACAGAGTTCGGTGAAGAGATAGGAAGAGAACTCAATTCTCGTCTCTTCCAAGTTACATATAGTTAGTGTCTGTTCTGGCGATCTTCGACCCTGTGATTTTTGCATCTCTTTTCACAAGAAATTTATCCAAATAGACCTATGATTCTTATTGTACTGAACCAATCATTCATGATTCATGTGACATTGTCTTGCAGTGTCGATGACACCTTGAACGCCAATGGATGAGATCGACAGTGGGACCAATGGCAACAGTCCCTGCGCCGGACATCTCAGTCTGCACCCAATAGCTCGCAGCAAGATTGGCTTCCCTGAGGAGATATTTGGTGAGACTTATCATTGAAAAGTCTGGAAATAATAGTTTTAGGCAAAAAGAAACGCTACAAGTAGTAATTGCAGGTATTAAATTTGGATGACTGTATGTATAATTTCAATGTGCCTAAAAATAAACATATAGGCTTTAACGAACATTCAATCATTGATCATATTGGTATCAATTAGGATAGAGATGGGTGACTTGTTTGTGGTATCAAAAGGTCACCCTCATGAAATGTTCTCTTGTTTAACTAGATAAAGGTCCTCTCTTTGCAGCGTGACTTCCCCGCCGTTGGATACGAGGTGTTATCTTTCTTGGAGATGCGTGAACTGGGCCAGCCCAACTTTGTAGGGCCTGTAAGATGGATCACCAGGCCGGCGTACGTTAGCCTCGATCCACAGCATTTTGCTATCTTGGAGTAGATAACACTGAGTTGTGGCGCGAGAGAAGAGGGAGAGGGCAGCGACGACGACGATGACGGCGTTGCGAAGCCACTGCTGCCATCCTCTGTTCTCCTTCGCCTCCTTCGACAGCAAGCCTACCCTTCCCTTCGCCTTTTTATCCCTCGCCGGGAGACCCTTCTTTGGTGGGCGACGTCCTCGCGCCGGCCCATTCCGCCGCTTGCTAGCCGCCGCTGCTGCCCAAGACCCCCACCCGTCCAAGGAGTTAGACCTCGAGCTTCTGCTTCACAGCAAGCCCTCCCCCGTCCCCAGCGACGACGATGACGACGACGACCCTCGGAAGCCCCCCGACTCGGATGAGGCATTGGCTCCCTTTTTGAAGTTCTTCAAAGCCAGAGATTCCGCGGAGGAGGGTCTCATCATCTCCGGCGAAGAGAGCGACGCCGAGGCGGCCGCCGAAGCCGAAGCTGAGGTGGAGGAGAAGGAGAAGGAGAGAGTGGAAGTCCAGTACTACGAGCCCAAGCCCGGGGATCTGGTGGTCGGCGTCGTCGTGTCAGGAAATGAGAACAGACTCGATGTTAATGTTGGCGCCGACATGCTTGGTACGATGCTGACCAAGGAGGTGCTGCCGCTATATGAAGCGGAATTGCCCTACCTGCTTTGCGATCGGGACAAGGATGCGGCCGAATACACGGTGCCTGGGAAGATGGGAATTCTGAAGGACGAGGAGGCGTTGAGTGGGGGAAAAGTGGCAGGGAGGCCCGTCGTTGAAGTCGGGACGATTCTCTTCGCGGAGGTGCTCGGTCGCACGCTGAGTGGACGGCCGCTCCTGTCTACGAGAAGGATGTTCCGGCGGGTCGCGTGGCACCGAGTGAGGCAGGTTCTCTACGCTTACTCTTTCTGGAATGATTCATGTCATCGTACGTTAGTTTTGCTTGATGGGATAGCTGGGCAATGAGACGGGCCTTCTTTCGTTTTTGTAGCATTTTGTTCAATTTGAATTCTAGATTATATGTGCTAGTGGGAACCTTTTATTTTCAATGTCAGGCCTCTTTTAGTTCATGATGTTTTGAATTGTAACTTCGACCTGTTCTTCAGGATGTTTGTCCTGTCCACCCATTTTCTTGTTAATCTTGGGATTCTTTTGATGGTTTGACGGCCTTTAATTGTTAGATATGCATCTAGCTTCCATCATGTTGATTTAAGCATTGCAGTCAAAGAGTCACGGATTGCAAATATTGTGGCCTTCCTCAAAACATTTTTGTCCCTCTGAAGTGCATCTTGGAAGGCATATTTAGGATGTTCAATAGCAAGTCTCAATATTGTTCAAAAGAAACATCCTTGATGTGGGCCTGATAGTGGAAGCATGTTTTTTTATTTGAAATGAGAATATTAACTTTTGAGATTGAATATGCTATGGAGATAGAGTTATGTTGATATTTAATTTAAACACAAGCCCTATTGAATTTGATGAGAAGATGGACAGATTGGTTTTTATTAGTTGTGGATTATGAGAAGATTACAACAAGCACATCTTGACCCTAGATGATAAAACTTCATCACATGGTTAGGTAGTTCGTAGAAGGCTTAAATGTGGCTTCGCTTGAGAAATATTTGGGTTAGATATAATTTTGAAAAGGGGTGAATTTCGTTTTATCAGTTTTTCTTCTGTTCTTTCCCTGTATTTGGGATTTTCTTGTATTTATTGTCGATCTAGAATTTGCATAAGAGGGGTTGAATAAAGAAATCTTCTGGTCCACATTATTTCATAAAGGGGTGTCCCTCAGTAACTAATCCTACTGTCATGCTCCAAATGACATTGTTAAGGTGTGATGCATGTAAGTTGTGTTTGCTTAGTCTTGATCACAAAAAAGCAGAATTAAATTTGGGAGGTGGGTTAGATTTAAGCATGTACTAGTCCAAGCTCAAGTATGCTCCCTCTTAACTTTTATTCGTTCCTCTCTTTTCCTATAATAAACCACACATGGTGATGATGGATGATGTTTTGGGCATGCTTTATCATTATTGGTGGATAAACTTGAAGTAAGAAATCACTTTTTTTGATGTAATAGTTTGTACATGGTCCATGCAGATAATGCAATTGAATGAGCCTATAGAGGTAAAAATTTTTGAGTGGAACACTGGTGGCCTTCTTACTAGAATTGAGGTATGTATTTATTGGTCTTTTATATAGTTGATTATAAGCTTATCTTAATGTATTGGACTATGATACTTTGTTGATCTTCAGGGTTTGCGTGCATTCCTCCCTAAAGCTGAATTGATGAATAGAATAAAGAATTTCACAGATTTAAAAGACAATGTAAGTAAACTTTCCGATAAAGCTTTTGTTTCTGACATGCAAATTATCTTATTTGAACACTTGAACTATATCATATATTCTCTTGGATTATAGAGCCAAGGATTTCAATCTCGATCTGACTGGCGTTAGGCCATGTGGATTAGTTTAGGGTTTAATCCCCATCTTGTAAAAATTCAACATTCCCCCACCATTATGGTGCATGACCTGTCCATGTGCTCTGTGCTTCAATAGGTTTATGCTTCTTATGGTCTGTGACTCTGTGGTGGTATTATGGTCCCCCTGTGGCCTGTGTTATGGGGGCCGCCACTTCCTATCAAAATAAGAAAAGTAGCTTCTTGACAATACAGTTTTTCATGCTTTTCCATTATGTCTAATATGTTTGTAAAGTTCAAAAAAGTAGATTTCCCCACTTGTATTTCTTTTCAGGTCAGCCGCAGGATGCACGTGTGTATTATCAGGATCGATGAAGCAACTAATGACTTGATAATTAGTGAGAGAGAAGCCTGGGTTAGTTGTTAGTCATGCTTCTGTTTTTAGTTCAAAACATCTGTTTTACTTTGCTTCTAATGCTTCTGACTTTAGTTAAAACTTAAGACATCTGTTTTACTTTGTTTTGAATGCTTCTGTCTTTATTTTTAAGTATCTATTATTTACTTTGCTTCAAAATTTAAAGTTGACTGGTATCTTAGGCATGCTTTAATCCCATAAGGATGTAATATAAGCCGTATATCAGTTAAATCTGGACTTTAAGAGCCATCTATTATCTTGAAAACTTATTGTTCTCAGAGGTTCTATAGACCTTTTATGCCACCACTTCTCGGCTTGGAACTTATAAAGCAATCTTATACATGTAAACATGAATTAATTATGGTATCCCTTAGGATTTAATTTATGTCACCTGATAGACCTATTGGCCAAACAACTCAATAGAACTGGCCTTTTACAACAAGGTCAAAAAAGCTTGAACCCAGGTTGCTGATAATATGTTCATGAAGTCTTATATGCCAATCTATCCTATCATTTCTCCATGTGGGACTCTTGAGGTATCACAATTTTCCTTAATGCCTCGACGTACTTCTCAAGATTAAAACCATAATCACATATGACCTGCTCTAAGGTTCTGATGTGAAGTTAACCTAGGGTAACACAGCTTTGTGCATGAGCAATTTACATCTTCAAATGTGTTAGTCCAGTGTGCACTTGGTAACCTCACCTTAGCATGTCAGTCCATGCAGAGAAACCAACAGAACAAGTTGATACCCATAATCACTATAGTAAACCAATTTGCTGAAAAACTGTAAAGAATGAGGCTTACCAAGTGCCTTAAAGTGTATAAGCTCGTGTAATTAGTGGAAGGACCATACCATGATGGACATTGTCAATGTGAATTCTAACTAGCTGTTTGGAGTTCATCATAAATGCCATTATGATCTGTAGGGATCGGTGGTGCAGGACAAGTTGGTTGATTTTAGCATTGCTCCCTTCTCCAATTGTTTATCCAACCAAGGACGGAAGATGTCATATATCAACCAAGGATGGTTGATTTAACCTCTTATGGCTATTGTTTATTCCCATGTGATCTTGATAGATAAAGTGGTTTATCAGCTGCTATTATCATGCTGACCAAGAGTGAAAGTATTGCAATATAAGGTTGTTATCTTTCCTCTCATCTCTTGGCACATTACATATTGGTTTCTGAAATATCAATGTCTTGACTTATAAGCAATACATAAAATGTTCATTATATATACCTGATTGCTTCTAAAATGTGATTAGAGCAGTGATCATTTACAAGAAGCACTAGACTGATAATCGCTCTTTGGAAGTTGTTTGCCTTTTAATATGTTATGTTAGAATGATATATGTTGTGAGATCCTATGAGATGCTTACATATCTGGATGTCTTTTCTTCTGTAGGATATGATGAACCTGAAAGAAGGAACACTTCTAGAAGGAACCGTGTGCAAAATTCTTCCATTTGGAGCACAAATTAGGATAGGTGCCACAAACCGGAGGTACAAGCAACCTGGCCTTGGCATCTTTGTCGTATTTAATTTATTGAACTCGGATTTCATATGCAATTGTGTATCATAGCTGTGTGTTAACTGAAAAAATAGGCATTTCTGGTATCTTTATACATATTAAAGCTACCGGTAGGTCATGAACAGTTGTCTTGACTATTAGCAGTTCAAGCAATATGTTCTTAAGAGATTATAGGATGATGGTTATAATGTTCAGTTCTCAAGGTTTCAATACTCGGAAAATATGTATATATGCTTTTTGGCTTCTACACTAAGACTGAATACAGACTGATGAGAACTTCCATTTACCATTATTGTACTTTGTTCTGAAAGGAAGAATTGTTGCTTTCAGAAAGTCTGTTCCTGGTAAATTGGCATTACTGAAGCTCCTGTTTTTGTGTTTGCTTGCTTCTTTGTACTGGTTGGTAGCTTGCTAAAGATCCAAAATTTTCTGGGCAAGTTAATTTTTTCTTGGTTAAGGTAATCCTTCAACACTTACAGTCTTATCTTAGCGCTGACAGTCTGCCTTTCTTTCCTGCTAGTTAAGGTTGGTTGTGTAGATTTTGTTTCTTGGGTTTACGTCAGAATCTTCTCCCACTAACAGTGTACTGCCAAACACCCTTGGCTTTTGTTGAACTTGTAACTTCATTCTTTTGTGCACTTTGCTATATTAATTTGCTTATACAGTGCAATTTTATGAGTATACCGATGGATATTCTAACAAGGAATTCATTTACCATCAGCTGAGGCTGAATTGTGTGTCCTTGTGCCAGCACTTTCAAACATGTGCTTCATTTTCTTACATTCTGAGAAAATAGAACTATGTTTGATCAAATTGTGGGTCCTTGTGCCAGCACTTTCAAATATGTGCTTCATTTTCTTACATTATGAGAAAATAGAACTATGTTTAATCAAATACTTCTCGATACTTATCCCTTCTGCCACCAATTTATTAACTTTATCAGTAAAACCGAGGGCTTAATTGCTGATTGCGCACCGGACTGTCTAACTGTTATTGTAACAAGATACTGAGCTGTATGCTAAACTGGAACTACCTGATATTACTGAATAAAATAATTAAAGGCAAATACAAGTGGTATACTGAACTGTTCGAAGGTTTATGATACGATGCCAATGCTTGGTTGGCCCAGCAAGTAATAGTTGGTGAGCACCAGGTATTGGAGCCTTGTCTAGGCAAAGGGCTATAACTGTTATGATTTATGATCTCCGATTTTGGGTCAAATGGATCTAAGAGGCAGGGAAGTATCTATGGAGCATATCATACTTTATCTGAATTCTGACCTGAGACAGTCTTGCGAAGGTCCAACCAATTTCAGAAGATGGGACACAATTTTTAGAGCCACAAGATGCATATTTCTAGTCTAATGATTTTTGTGTCAGAAATTGTACTGATCTGGTAAAATCATAGTTGGCTCCAGTTGGAAGTTCTACAGGCACTGGGTGATGGAGATTGGACACAATGTAGACTTTCTATTTCCTGCAGGGGACAGCGTGCGGGTCAATTTGGAAGGGTTGAAAGATGCATGAATTGATTATAATTGATCCAAAGGCAGAACTCTAGAAGGTAGTAGTCCTAAGTCAGGAATTGGCCATGTACCAGAGAAGTGAACAGTATTTTAGAGGCAGGTTACTTTGCCACTGCAGATACTGTAGCAATTCTTGGTATGGAATTATTTAATCGTTTCCAACGTGCTTATTAATGCAATATGTACATTGTAAATCAATAACATTTTTGGTTATTATATTTCTTTTTACGCTTAATAAAATTAATTAGTTAGTCAAATAATTTCTAGTGATATCACTTGGGAGGTGTTTTCTTCTTGAATTGGAGGGAACCCCATTAGAGGGTATTCTTCTATTGGCAACCTGCCACAAAAGTCAATTATTAATGACGAAGAATAACATGGCATTAGGATATGCAATCTGCTGTAACCAAGGCATAAGAAAAGATCCAATAAAGAATTCAATATGCTTCAATTCTTAGCAGTAAGGAACCAATATATATATATATATATATATATATATATATATATATGATTATTTTTTGTTGCAGGTTCTTCTATGAAATAACAAGAAGGTCTCTAGTTACTATGTTGACCACCTTATGTAACCCTATATGTCTGACCTTTTGTTCCAACGATTGAGGAGTAAGGACTTGATTGTTTTGCTAAATTTTCATAAAGATCAGGGTCAGTCACCGAAGAGATTGATGCCAAAACTCACAAAAGTGAAACATTGAGGACAAATAAACACATTTCTTCATAATTTCCTGAAAAGATTTCTTGTTGTGATCTCTTTTCTGTCAAGTGTCAGAGTCCAGCATCTTTTTAAAAATATGTTTTAGTTACAGTATGTTGTCTATGCTTGATACGGCACCAAAATTTCGGTTGATTATTGTTTAAATGACTATTGGAAAACTTTGTCAGTGACACTGATATATAGGTTTATATCTCTCTCTCTCTCCTCTCTGTCTCTCTCTCTCACGCACGCGCGCTCTCCCTCTCCCTCTCTCTTGTGGAAAAGATCCAAAACTGTCAGTTTAAGATATGTTTTCATGATCCGATTCTAAAGTACATATTGAACTCAGAGTATCTTCTTGTTTAGTATCATCAGATTAAAGGTTGATTCTAGAAATAACAGTCTTTATCAAATATATCATAGTTTTGGCTAACAGAAAAAAGAGGTTTTAATGCTTCTTTTATTGAATACATAACAGATATCTTAAGTTGTAATTTTTTACTGATATAAAGTCTAATTACACTGGCTTTTTAACTGCAGTGGGTTGCTTCATATCTCAAATATAACTCGTGCCCGAGTTTCATCAGTAAGTGATGTACTAAAGGTGGATGAAAAAGTGAAGGTTCTCGTGGTGAAGTCAATGTTTCCAGACAAAATATCTCTTAGGTGGGTGTTGGACAATTTTCTGTTTTTTTTGCATTGTCAATTATTTATTGCAAGTCCAAATCAACAAATTCGTAATTATGAACCATCATATTCTGTTCTTGTCTGTTTCTTCAATTTCAAAAGTAGCCTCATTTTGTATGATACTGAATTCTGAAATGAAAGGTTGGGTGTTTGATTGGCACAATATATGTTAAACATTGGTGTGTCTGTGCTTGCAAGTTGTAGAATCACGAAAATAGTGTTGCAAGTTGTGAGTCATACTGAACTCTAATGATCTTGTTTTAGACTAGTAATGAAGCTTATTATTATATGTAAACTAATTTTCTTAAAGATCATACTACCATGAAAAATAATACATTTTCTTGAATAATTTTGTTGTTGTACAAACAGCATTGCAGATCTTGAAAGCGAGCCTGGACTTTTTCTATCGGATAGGGAGGTGATGTCTCTTCTAGTTTATTTAATCAAGGACACATTTTTGCTTTAGATATACATATACTTCTTTTACTATTTCCATCTAAATTGTTATTCTTACATTATCAGAAAGTGTTTTCTGAGGCGGAAGAGATGGCCCAAAAGTATAGAAGAAAGCTACCTGTTATTTCTGCATCACACAAGTTCGAGACTCCTCCGACCGCCGATTTGCTTCCTTTTGATGATGAAGCTAGATTATATGCAAACTGGAAATGGTTCAAATTTGAACAGCATACCGAAGTGAATGATGGCGACAACATCATCTCAGAATGCTAGAGTCCAAGAACATCCTGACCATTTTGCTGACAAGATTCGTCAAGTCAAAGCCTTCAGCTCGGATAGGGGGGGCGTGTTTCTTCAGTCTCCATGTTGCAGTCTGGAATGGTTGTTTGAGATAAGAATTCTTAAGCATCAGCTTGAGAATGAGAGAAAGAAGCATGTGCCCATGATTGTGTCTGAATAACAAGATGGATGTTATATGGTTCGATAACAGTTTTGATTTAATTTTTTTTCTTCCTGAATTTAATCTCCATTTATTCTTTATCAAGAATGTAAGATCATCCTTTCCAAAGGACCAAAGTAGTAGCGTTGTACATAGGTGGCATCAGAGAAGAAACACATGTAGCATGTCTCCCTTTTGGATTTTGTCAAGATGTGTATCGTCAATCTAAACACCTTTTCATGTTCTTGTTTGATTCAGGTGATATTTGTGATCCATTATGTGTTCTTAAGTTGAGGGACAAAGGAACAACCAAAAGTGTATTTGCTTTTTTAGAGCCATCAGATCAGTTTACAAAAAATTATTTGCTTTTTTAGAGCCATCCATCGATCCATCACTGTTGGGTTACACAATTTAGTTGCAAAGAAATATTGGACTATGTTCTACCTGTCTGAGCAGAAGGGTGTAAATGCATGAACAAGAAGTAAATGTCCATACATCAGGAATCATGTCTGGAATACTTATTGCCCATATCTAATTCCTTTGGAAATTTGATGTTTCTAATGGCCTAGACATGCACAAAATCTTAAGAAAGTGAATACAACACACCAAAATACACACTTGGAATCTAATTTGAATCTATGACGAATCCTACAGGAACATCGTATAAGCCTATGCGGGAACGTGCTTGATTCACTGTCAGTCGAACGTTCCGAGGCACATCGGTCTCAGGTGAATGCCCAGAGATGCAGAGTGTTCCGGTGTCATCCTGCCCCCAGTAGACTTCTACCATCAGGCCTCTTGGATGCTCAGATGATTCTGTTCCAGGAATCCCAACAAACCTGGCTCCCTTTGGAATCTGCACAATTGCTATTGGTGAGCAACTTTCCACTCGTTCTCAAGTTTGGATTTTAGAAGATCTATTATAGCTTCTAGAGCCATCGAATACTATCTATCTCATACTTCCAGGAATGCCACAAAAATTTCTCTATTACTGGTTTGGAATCTGTTACTAGTGCAGCATTGTCATTTTTGTTCTCAATCCTCCGTATTACTCGGTGACATGAGGCATATGATAACAGATTAATTGCTTAATCAATTCATGCAACCAGAAATAGAGTTTTAAAACAATATCCTCAAATTCTGCAGTGCAGATTCTGACCTGAATTGAGGATCCAGATAACAAGTTCAGGGTAACTAGGCTCTCCTCACTGGAAGAACTTTCCAGCTCTGCCAGTTGTGCTATGTTTAGAAACACTTCTTCAAGTGTTGTTAGACCAAGTTGTGTGTCCAAAATGCCAAATTCCTTTTCTCTATCTTGGAGCTCTGCAAAAAAGTTCTGCCACCGAAAAGAAAACTAGATAAGTAACCATATATAAAACATAGTGCATCTCCAGCCAAAGACACATATAAATTCAAAACATAATATCATGAAATTACTGCGAGAAGCTCCTCTCTGTTGTGGGGTATGGTGAAAGTAAAAAATGTCTTGTTCTCCTCTTTAGGCTCCACATGGAGTCGCTGTTAATTTCATTCCTATGTCAGTCTATAACTTACCAGAAAAATCGTAAAAGAGGACATTATTGAAAATGCATTGGACTTACATCTTTGAAGAACTGCTTCACAAGCTGAAGGTGAGGATTGTATACTGGTGTGCTACCATAAACATTGTGAGTTTGACCTGGTGTGTTGCCAAGGAAACTTATATTAGCAACATAACCAGTTCCAAATCTAGACTTGAGTCGTATAGAGGTTCCTATACACCGCAGTTTTCCCTTCGCCATAATGGCTATCCGGTCACTTAAAATGTCAGCTTCCTCCATGGAATGGGTTGTCAAAACAATAGCTCGTCCTCTCTTTGCGTCCTCTATTATGTCCCAAACACGCCTTCGAGTGATTGGATCCATACCAGTAGTCTGCACCAAACATAGGCCAAACCAATAAAAGATTCACTCGAGAGATACTGTGACAACAAAGATATGAAACTTACTGCTAACAAGTACCCAAGGCATTCTTCAGTTGTTTACAACTTCTATTAGAAACTGTCATCTTGTCACTTTTTCTTCAAATTGAATTAATATATTTCATATCCAAGTCATCAGATAGTTCTAAAAAATAGATACATTGGAATATTACTATAGCAGCCTTTGTTTAGAAAAAATATGGCTAAAATGTGTCAGAGGCTTAAATAACAAGACACTAAGTAGAAATTTTTGTGTTAATGAGCTTAGATTTTGTTACAAAGACAAGAGGATCAGGAATTTTACCCCATGGGGCAAGAAAAATACTGAAATAGACAGACTCATACATCCATTTCATAAAAGGATACCAATCTAGCACCAATAACAGAATCATGTTGAGATTGCACTTCTTCAAATTTGCACGTAAAAAACTAGTATATTGGCAATCATTGTCATATTATTTTTGAATAGAATATATAAGGTATGATAGTTTAACATTGCAGAGATAAATTTTTGAAACAGCAGTTTCATAATAATGCTCTCACAAAGTCTATTTTCGTTAAAGTGAAAATAAAGGAAATGATCAAATATAGCTGATCCATGTCCGCAAATATCAAATGTCAAGTTGCTTAGAAAACGAAAAGAAAAGAATAGTAAAACAAATTTCTCACCTTAATTATGTTTTTTATACCTTTTTCCTTCTTTTGGATCATAACAGAAGTGGAATGTTTTTCTTTTTTCACTTAAGTAATAATTAGTGTTTGTAGGATGTATTTAACCTGTAATATCCAAATTGTGTTATTTTTAGAAAGATGTTTATGAATTTCAACTTTCAATTTCTGAAGGTGCTGATAGACGAATTTCCCATCAACTTGTTGAGGCAAATGCTTCCCCTTCATTTTCTCTTATTTTCTTATACTCCTACAACATAACTATCTGACTCAACAAGAGAACCACTATATATATGTAGAAAAATTTAGGTGGCGACATCACATGCGCAGCAGAAGAACATAAAAATAAAATCCCCAAAATTTTCATTGATGTGTTCATCGTCGTGTGAAGATTGGTACACAAAATCCACAAAACTTAAAACTACGTATATTAAAGATTGTGTTACCTAGGGAGATCGTATATCATTGAATCCCTCAAAATATGTAAGAAAGGGTGAAGGAAGTCAAGTGTCATCTTCTCTAGTAGTGATTCACACAACAGAGTTGTAACAATGCTCCTCAAAACTTCAGGCTTACTATTTGAGGAGGAGAAGTAGAGGAGAATACAACCCAAAGAGGCTCTAGCATATGAACTATTGGTTTCCTCCTATTTATAGATGTCTCCTATCAACATAATCCTAATATATCCTGTCCTATTATGTGTTGAATTTCTATCTAACTATTCAAGTCTCTTAATTAGTGGATCTCTATCCAATAATCTCTCATTGGCTCTTATTGAATCTCATCCATAGGATCCAATAATTCAGGGACTTATTGGATATCTAATAAGATAAGGCCTTTGACGGATATCTCATATCTGAACCTCTACTCGTCGCAACGCCTATCATATGTGTGTGACCCTCTAGGTCCAATGTCGAGCTAGTCGTAAGTTATACTTGTCAGAACTCCTTCTGGCTCAGTGAATTATTATCTCAATAATAATTCACTCAACTCATTGACTGCGAGCGTACTAGACCACTATGTCATAATCTCCAGACGATACAAGGGAATCAAATCCATTGGACCTGTTTGTCCTCCTCAGTTATTGTATACTTATAGTCCCTCATTCATCTAATATCCTAGAGACCATATACCAGGCATGGTGTTATCAGACCCATACGGTTTCTGCTCGAGTCTCGCTCTAATCGGATTCTCCCGGAGAACTTTTTCTCTCTCAATCCGAATGACCCTAGCCAAGGATTTGTCGAAACAAAAACATATGTGATATTCCTCTCATGACACCGAGAGCGGATGATCCTCTATCGATACTCAATAGTCCTCGTAAGGTTGGCTACCACTCCTGATGACTGGCTGTGCTAGATCTAGAACCTTCAGACCTATAAGTCCAGCATCAAAGAGTGAAGTACTCATACATGACATCCTTGATGTCTCAAGTCTAAGGACCAGATACACCATTGAGACTACGAAATTGTTATATGGCAATAAGACATCATCAATCATCCAGCATTCCGTAAGTAGATTAATCAATGAACTCATTCTCCAATGAGCACTTTTATTATATCCCTAGTGTCCCCACACGAGCAGCTATGAGACCAACTGCATCCATTATATGGACGGGTATACAACACACTAGTCTGTCCAGTTATCTCGATGTCCTTCTTGAATAACCTATAACTAGGATTATTTAGGATATGTATTTAAACGTGAATCAATCTCATTATCGTGATCTCATCACGATCTGATTCTCATTGCATAGATCTATGAACATCATAATATATTCAAGCAACGAGCAATATAAAATGATAAAATATCAAATAATAATAATAAATAAAAAAACCACATGTTAAGTCATGCATACTATCACTTACGTGATTAGCTTGTAGGGCACCTATAATTAGCAAGATCTAATCTATACAAAATAGATGAAAATTCGATTTCTTCACGTGGACTTATTATCCAAAAGTATAAAATTATACCCGTATATAATATACATGTATTAATTTCCATATCCATGCTGCATCTGTCCTACATTTGTTAGACTTGATGTATTGGTGTACTCATGCTGTTTCCATGTCCATGCTTCACAAAGCAAAATGATACCATCCAGTTTCTTTCGTTTCTTTCCGTTTCTTTCCGTTTGGATGGTATCAGACCAATAATCCTTGCTCTGATACCATACAATCTATGAAACTATATCAAAATAGCATACAAACTAGCTCTGATACCAAAAGCTGCAATAATTTCGTAAGAAACGGAAGACGACCAATAATTTGATTTTGGTACCAAAACTATAGAACTATAGAAAGCTGAATCCATTGAACCTCCATCACTTGGTTTTCTCAAAACAAGTGATTTCCCTGGAACTCTCAGCCATCAGGTAGCCGTAATCAAGCAGCATAACATTCAGATACAACTTCTGATACAAATTGCTGAAGACATAAAAGGAATACGGACAGAACTACAAACAATACGGGAATTGCAACAATAAAAAATAATACAATCCCAAGTAGTACCAGACGAACTTATTACCAAATTGGCAAATCTCAACCTGGGTCCTTCAGAAAGGCCTAAAGAGACGAAAGGAAAAATCCTGGTTTTTAAGGATCCTATAAAGATCTTTCAGG